AGTAGTATTTCTTTTTACTAGATCGGTGCTCATTTTTCCACAGCGGCAGGTAAATTTGAGACACACAATAGGGGCGGTCGCGTAGCCTAGTGGTTAAAGCGTTCGCTCGTCACGCCGAATACCCGGGTTCGATTCCCGACATGGGTACAATGTGTGAAGCCCATTTCCGGTGTCCCCCGCCGTGATATTGCTGGAATATTGCTAAAAGCGGCGTAAAACCACACTCACTCACTCACTCAATGAGACACACAATTCATTTTTATTTTATTTCACGTCGGAATGGAGATAAAATACGGAGAGCCTCACATACTTCGAAACGGTGATAAATATTTGTTCACATTAATTCTGTCATGTGCGTGAACATGGATTTCAACATTATTTTCATCAAGCTTATTCAGGTCGCTGGCCACACATCATCCTCTCTTGTAAACTACTTCGGCAAGAACACATGTTTGGTCTCGAAGCTCAAAGCAACAATGTTTCTCTCAGATGTATTTTTGTCTCCATCCATCCCTCGAAAAATCTTCCTGGTCAGTTGATTTCAACAATGTAATACACATAGCCTCATTAACAGCGTCATCACAAGATTCCTTCCAAATACCCACCACATGATCAGTGTTACGACCTTGGGATGAATTAAAACAAAATTGCATTTTTAGAAAAGAAATGTTTTCGTGAATGCTATTATTAAAAAACATCCTGTATATGGTACTTTGGATTGCACTGCGGATTTCTTTTATGACTTTCTAAAACATTTTGTTTTCCACCTTTCTGACCACGCAACCACGCCCCATGAGCGCATCCAAGTTGATTGCTGCTTACAACTGTCAAGAACTTTGCGAGTTCGCTTTTCTTCAATGTGGGCAAAAACATTTTCATGTAACGCTTCATTTGACGGAGAGTTGTTCGAGATGATCAGGGAGCCTTTGGTCATTTCAATTATGACATTGGTGACTTTACCGTGGACATAATTCCGATCGTCAACTCGAATCGACAAGATAGCGCCTCTCTTGCCGCCCTTGCAAGTGCAACAGAAACTTTGACAAATTCTGTGCCGATTCTTGGGATTAGTGATAATTCATTGTGGAAGCAAATGAAGCCGGATATGTATGTTCACACTTCTTTTGTTAACCATGCGTGACACAGCACAGGCAATCGCAGTTGGGGAATGGTGCGGCCACCATGTTGCTGAAATTCGTCGTTTCGAAAACAGAGTTGCCAAAACTTCTGGACTGAGGTAGAATCACGAAAGTAGATACTTGACTTGAAGGAACGGATATTAAACGTTGCAGCAGATGAACGATTGGTGTGGACATTACGGGAAAGGGATCCCAGATTATATTTTAAAACTTGTGCGCGATGTGTATAAAAAAAATAAAAATACATGGGACAAGTGTGGATCTAATGATCAAACTCAGTTGTCTTGCAATATGTGTGTATTGGAGTTTTCGTTTATCGTAAGTACAATATTATCTAGATACGCCCAATGTAGGTCAAAACATCAAGTATGTTTCGTTACATATTTATCAGTTGCTTCTGTGCAATGTTATGTTGATGCACGTGACATATTCATATTTTGTAGTCAAGCTAAGAAATATTGGCGCAACTACTGATGCTTCAAATTAGGCCCCTTCCTGAACACTAGTTGAAAATTATGTGTAATAATTTAAATTTTATAGATATAATCTGACTATTGTGTGGTGTAGATCAAAAGTACTGTCGGAAATGCTAGAAAACTGCTTTTCTGGCTTCATTTAATAAATACGTGAGTCAATGAGTGAGTATGGTTTTACGCCGCTTTTAGCAGTATTCCAGCAATATCACGGCGGGGGACACCGGAAAATGGGCTTCACACATTGTACCCATGTGGGGAATCGAACCCGGGTCTTCGGCGTGACGAGCAAACGCTTCAACCACCAGGCTACCCCACCGCCCCTAATAAATACGAGTCATAGGACTGTAAAAAGAACTTATATCAAAATATAGCAAATTATCCTAAACTGATACTGTAATTACCCTTAAAATATACTTTTACAGTTAAAATGATGATCAACTTAGAAAATATTCGTGTGTTGTCATGTACGAAATGGCCTTTAACTCAGGTAATATACCTGAAACCTGTCCCGAGGTGATGACCTCACACCGTCCCGTGCATTCTCACAGGTGCAAATGTCACCGAGTTGGGGGTGGTCTCAAAATATTGCTGTTGTTGTACTTAATTGACATGTGTGTTGATGGGGTAGCAATTAAGGATCTGTACTGCATAATATTTGCTTGGAAACATGATGGAATAGTTAAGAGCTATGAAACGGGATGATTATTGGAAGGTTACAGTTTTGGAATCTAGAAGTATTTGTTGTTCTACAGATGATATCTTGAAGGAGCATTTATCTCCGCTGATGACGTATATGCATATGTACTTTTGAATGTTGTGTTATGTCTTGCCACGAACCCTTAATACTGAGCCAGATGGGAACAACAGGGTTGAGCACACAATGTCTGACTGCCGTACGTAAGACAACGTAACCGTTTGGTGCCGCCAGCACATATGTCCTGTACTTTACAGGGTTCTTATTCAGCCGAATTTTCTCCATGAGTTGAACTTTCGTTTCATATGGTCTGAAGTCGACAATGTCACATATTACTGAATGGTCGCCTTCAGACAACTCATGGTTTAGGCGACAGTATCTGATTCCCGGACGTTATATTAACTGTCCATGACAATAACACTGACGTTGTTTAAAATGGGCAATAACTGAAGTTCCAACCAGTCTATGAACACATCACGTCCTATAATCTCCTTATGAAAATCAAAAGTTTTCTTTTTCGCCTCGAAAACTAGCACACATCCATCAATAAGCCCCATATCATGGGTTGCAGCGTGCAAATAATGACACGATTACCTTTACCTGATGGTCAATGGGAGATTTTGGTCCATCTGCCGATAGCCACTGTAGTCAGTGGAATGATTCATCAAGGTAAATTATCTGGACGCCCTGACTGTGATAGTTATGAATGGTTCGGAGAAAGTGTGACCTCATAGACTGGATGAAATTTTTCCCCTGAAAAGTGCTCGGTCATCGCCACGAGCAGTGTATCGAAATCCCATCTCTTAGAGGGCAATAGTTAGTGCAGTAAACATTAATTGTATCTATATTCCCTCCCAAATTCTGCAAGTCAGGGTTACCTTCTGCTAATAAAAGTGTACACTACACGCCTAATCACCCTGTACCAAAGCTGTCTAATATCCTTTTACGTCCCAGTTTTGTTTTTGAGACCACCCTATACCTGTTTTGTTTTATTTATCACACCGTAGACTTGATGGTATGAACTGAAATCCCCATAGCTTGGGCAGTTCGGTAACTCACCCTATCTAAATTAATAAATGTTTTCCCTCTCTGAAGTGTTAAGAACTTGTATACATTTCCCTGTACAGACTCCATATCGTATACCATGGGTATGGCTATGCAAGTGTAATGTAACATGCATCATGGGAGCAATGTTAACAAAATATAGGCAGCGTCATCTTGTCGTTTTAGAAGCTGCCCATCTAGAATTTTCTCAAAATGATTTTTGTGTGTGGATTAGATGTTTTATGAAGACTACATGATTATCATTATAACGGAGTCACGTGCGCATATTTCTATAGTCCGTTTCAGGCTGCCATCGTTGGACTTAGAAATAATGTAAACTTCCTGTTTTCGTTCGTATTTGTCTCATGTAAACTTGTCGATAGGACTTCTAGTGACTGAAAAACTTCAAACAACTGGTAGGTCGATCGGTAGTTACTCGATCTTTCAATAACAACAGTCTATGAATTTTTTTATCCTTTTTTAACAGGCAAAAAGCCGTATTCCGACAGTACTTTAGAATCTAACTTTTGAATGCAAATGACCAAAACTAAACAAATATCTGTAATTTTCGGATTGAACTGAAAGAATCTTGTCGTCAATTACGTATTTATATATCGTTAGTGTTACATTAACCGAAACTGTTGTTCTGCTGCTGTTCTGCCGTAAAAATATACTAAAACAATACACTTTGACCTTAAATGCATTGTGTCACATGTACACATGTGCTATGTGCTATGCTATTTATAGCGCAACCGTAAATAAGCTACGGCCACTGTGATTGATGCAGACGCTAAACACGACCGTTTCTATTTTTTATGCTAAAACAACAGAAAATTTATTTACTTATATATAGATATGGAGCCATTTGTTGTATCCAGGGTTTGTCATTCAAGTTGATACGAAGTTTGACGGTCAATGGTGATCTTGTTTGCGTACGGTTTTCAAAAAGCTTCTCCCGACACTCGGTTGTGTTTACATTGTCAGTCACTGTTCGAAACTGAAACACCGCCACCTTGCGGGCTTTTTATAGTCAGCGTGGGGCTTTAAGCCCTTTGAACTTCTCATTATGTTTTAGTCAATCTGACAGATAATTGGACAGATTTTTCATTCAATTTGTAAGATGACGGAAATTTGTAAAAAGGCTGCAATATTTAGGCATTTTGAAAATTGCTTAGGACTGTAATATATATACCACACAAAGGAAACGAAGGCGATTTTGTATAGAAAAAAATTGCCATCAGCTTTGATTTTTCAAATAATTCAGCTGTCTCTGTTTAGTTCCTATGGATAATCTGGTATGCATTCTCGCATATTTAGCTTGTTTCGAAAGGTCGAGATCGTGAGAATGCTGAAACGCGAGAACGCGCGAGTGTCATATGGCATTCCATACACTTGGGACATAAACGTGATATAAAATGGGAAGCTCGTTTAATATCGTTTAATATCCATTATGTTTAACCCTTACTGGGTTATCACATTTGGCTGAATATCCCGTAAGAGGTTAAAATGACAAAATGACGAGGAGACCTGGGCCGGCGGCGATGCAATCAACCAACCAATCAGCTTTATTACACCTGGTCAGTTGCCTAGCTATAGAAGAGCCTGTAAAATCTTATTACTAAAGTCGTTCTTCTTTACTATTTTCAGGTTTGCCGTGCATTTCGCCAACGCGCTGAACATGAATGAAACGTCGTCGTACCACACAGTCCGTGTTTGTCCCTATCTGGAGAACCAAGACATCGCGACGACCAGTGTTTTTGCAGATCTGATCTTATATTCATTAACTCGTTTTCTCATGTTATCGGAATATTGATGCATGCTAGTTCAAGACAAAGAAGATTTGTATTAAGGGACTTTACTGAAAGCTGACAACTGTTAGGAACGTATCAGAGAAGGGTATGCCAGACTGCGAACATGCAGCAACTGAAATAACTGTGACTGACAGCTTCACCGTCACATTGAGCGGATTCGTTCTTCAATGCTGTGTTTATTTAGTAGTACATTTATTCCAGTCTTTGAAATTGTGTGCCACGCATGAAGGTGATAGCCCCGTGTTAGTGATACAGCAGATCCGTGCAGGTGCTGATACGGAGTGTCATGAGTTGCTCATGTTGAGAGTCGCAGAGTTGACAGATGTTAAGACTTCGAGTGGCAATCTTCAGGGCAGAATCAATTGTTTGTGATTCAATTCTTCTGGATTCATCAGATAAATCTTTCTAAGAATAGTTCCTCTAACGAAGCCTGAAGTCATTGGAATACGTATCTGCACCCGTCAAGGTGTAACCGTTTGCTTGACATAATGTGAGCAGGACAAAGTGTCGCTGCGCCACATCATGTGAAGTCTTTGGTGTAAGGTTTCTCAATACTCAATCTTTCATAAAACTAGACTAAACTTCCTGTCATACTCATAGATATCAATCCAAATAAAATCATTTTATTCATAGGAAGCTTGTTCCTAGTTGGTTTGTCTTACAAGTTCACGACGGACAAAGACAAGTGTTGATGTAAACATCTGCATGGGATTACGTTCTGAAAAATCGGTAATCGTTCCGACTCACGGCCACCAAATTCAATCTTTGCAGATTCTAATCTGATGAAATGTCAGAACATTATCAGTAAAACGTAATCGAAATTAATACATAAATGGATGTTGTTCTTTTTAATCCATCTCGCAAGAATTTGTGTGAGTCGGGAACAATGTTTTTATTCTCTTGCAACGTAAGATGTCGTGGCCATTAACGTACGTGTGTGATGCAAATCCCGGGGTGACGGTCTATATCCCCCTCCAGCTTCAGACGCCTATGCACAGTGGCCTCGCCTCAATAAGCTGCTTAATCGAGTGTCTCGACCACATTGTATCGAGACACTGGCTAAACTGTGCATTTAATCAAGCAGATCTTCAACAGTCATCGATGTCTAATCACAGAATTCCCCTAACTTAATTATAAGACGCGACACATCCTTTCACATTTCCAATAGGCTTAGCGTTTAGGGCGTCGCTTTGGTGAACGTCATGGCGGTTCTGACCGCGCTCCAGCTAGCGTTTGTTGGAGGCATTGATTTACTATGTGCTGTTTCATCGTCTAAAAGCCCTTTCTAAATAATGTCATATTGCCCTCACATTTTTTGTTCACTTTAACTGTTCTTTATCTGACACTCAAGCCTATCCAAACTGATTTAGGAGTCAAAGGGAAACCGTTGACAAGCTGTCAGTTATATTTAACAGCTCCTCGTCTCAGGTATCGTTCAAGTGCATCTCCTTTCAAAGACGTGGCTGCTTTAATCTGAATCTTAATGCTCCCGGCTCATCTTGATATGTCTGTTACCAGTAATATATAATAATAACTGTTATAAGGAACGCGCCAGTACTCACTGTCAAGTAAAGCACAAGACGATGGCAAATAATAACGCCTGTTCACAAGGATAACATATTAGGTTGTGAGAACTTCAGTTCGGGCAACTAAATGTAGCAGGGTTTCATTTCACTGAGGGAACTGTCGTAAGTCCAACTAACGTTGAAGAGTGGGAGCGGTGCTGGTCGCGGCGCTGTCGTGATGGTCACGTTGTGTTGGATACAATGATAAACAGAACACCCACGCATCTTGGTGGATGCAACGTTCATTACATCTCCCCAAGAAGAAAAGTGAAATAGCTTCTTTCGTGGCTGCATTATAATAATGAAATCTGAGTAATGAGTACACTGAAGATGCAATAAAGCATGTGGTGATGGGCACGTCCATCAAAATTCACCATCGATTAAAAGTGGTTATTGTTTAGGAAGGATGCCAGACATATGCACGGGCCATTTGTAGTGTGGCATGCCTACATTCATTCATAGACTTCACGAACATCAGCTGCACGAGGCCGACAAGTGTTGATGGTGACTGACTTGATGATGATGGCGAACTTTCATGACAATACCAGTAAATATCAGTGTGAAAACAATATGTGACAATACGTAGTGACAATACGGAGCAACACGTTAATATCAACATCGTTCAAAGGAAATAGCAGAGACACGGACCGCACGGTGAGGGAATCGTCTCATCGGACTTCGTGAATGTAACAGCCAACATCAACTATTACTATACAGCTGCTACATTCACGAAGTGCGCTGATAGCTAGCATACATTCAACTCGGACAGCTCATAACTGATATATTCACGGACATTTATATTCACGTAGTACGCAAATAGCTCACAACTGATATGTTCAGCTAACAATACATTCAACACTGACAGCTAACAACTGATATATTTACGAACAATTGCTAATGTACGAAGTGCGCAGATAGCTGCTAACAACTGCTACATTCACGAAGTGCGCTGACAGCTATCAATACATTCAACACTGACAGCTAACAACTGATATATTCACGAAGTGCACTGACAGCTATCAATACATTCAACTCTGAAAGGTAACAACTGATATATTCACGAAGTGCGCTGGCTGCTAACAATACATTCAACACTGACAGCTAACAACTGATATATTCACGAAGTGCGCTGACAGCTATCAATACATTCAACTCTGACAGGTAACAACTGATATATTCACGAAGTGCGCTGGCTGCTAACAATACATTCAACTCTGACAGCTAACAACTGATATATTCACGAAGTGCGCTGGCTGCTAACAATACATTCAACTCTGACAGCTAACAACTGATATATTCACGAAGTGCGCTGGCTGCTAACAATACATTCAACTCTGACAGCTAACAACTGATATATTCACGAAGTGCGCTGGCTGCTAACAATACATTCAACTCTGACAGCTAACAACTGATATATTCACGAAGTGCGCTGGCTGCTAACAATACATTCAACTCTGACAGCTAACAACTGATATATTCACGAAGTGCGCTGGCTGCTAACAACTACTACGTTCACGTATTGTATGTAGCAATTCACTATTACGTTTGGTGATCCCTATGGAAGCGATTGATCTGTAATACTGATGTTCAGAAACGTGTCCATAGATGTTTGTGAAGAAATAACCACCAACACACACCGTATGAGACACACGCACCCACACCACATGGGCCTCCTCCACTGGTAACAACTATAAAGTCATAATAAACATATTAGTGGTGTGTTTACGCTCGTGGACACTACCCCGTCTATGTTGCTAATAGAATAAAGCAGAGGAAATAAAATCAAGCGTAGCAGTGTCAACCGGTGTTTCATGTAGCCAGATCAATTTAGCGCCTCCCGCTTGTCTATTCATACTCTCGGAGATGTGAAAAAATGAGAGTAGTGGGACTCTTAAGCGAGGCTAAATTAAATGAAAGGGTTAAGATTTGCAACAAGCAAGAAGTTGATATCACATTTAATTGCGTTCTGAAATGAACGTATTTTGTCTATCAGTTGAAACATGAGACACGTTCCGTTCAAACCATGTTTCTATTGGACGCCATCAGACCTTTGGGCTTCTTTAACATTATCAACAACTCCACGAATATCAAAACATATTTCATTGATTTTCACAATCATCTATTAACAACACTTTTCCATATAAAAATGAAACATCACTTCTCCCTATGGACGTATAAACGTAACTTTTCCCCCGAAGATGTCTGAACATCACTTCTCCCCAAGAGATGTCTGAACATCACCTTTCCCCAATAGATGTATGAAAATCACTTCTCCCCAAGAGATGTCTGAACATCACCTCTCCCCAATAGATGTATGAATATCACCTCTCCCGAATAGATGTATGAACATCACTTCTCCCAAATAGATGTATGAACATCACTCCTCTCCAAAAGATGTCTGAACATCACCTCTCCCCAATAGGTGTTTGAACAATACCTCTCCCCGAAAGGTTATGAACATCACTTCTCCCCAATAGATGTATGAACATCACCTCTCCCGAATAGATGTATGAACATCACCTCTCCCCAATAGATGTATGAACATCACCTCTCCCCAATAGATGTATTAACATCACTTCTCCACAAAAGATGTCTGAACATAACCTCTCCCCAACAGATGTATGAACATCACTTCTCCCCAATAGGTGTATGAACATCGCTTCTCGCAAACACGTGTATGAAAATAACTTCTCCCAAATAGATGTATGAACATCACCTCTCCCGAATAGATCTTTGAACATCACCTCTCCCAAATAGATGTATGACGTCACCTCTCCCCACTAGATGTATGAACATCACTTCTCCCCAAGATATTTCTAAACATCACCTCTCCCCACTAGATGTATGAACATCACTTATCCCCAATAGATGTATGAACATCACTTCTCCTCAATAGATGTATGAACATCACTTCTCCCCAATAGGTGTATGAACAATACCTCTCCCCGAAAGGTTATGAACATCACTTCTCCCCAATAGATGTATAAACATCACCTCTCCCGAATAGATCTTTAAACATCACCTCTCCAAAATACATGTATGAACATAACTTCTCCCCAATAGATGTATGAACATCACTTCTCCTCAAGAGATTTCTGAACATCACCTCTCCCCAATAGATGTATGAACATCACTTCTCCCAAATAGATGTATGAACATCACTTCTCCCCAATAGGTGTATGAACAATACCTCTCCCCAAAAGGTTATGAACATCACTTCTCCCCAATAGATGTATGAACATCACCTCTCCCGAATAGATCTTTGAACATCACCTTTCCCCAATAGATGTATGAAAATCACTTCTCCCCAAGAGATGTCTGAACATCACCTCTCCCCAATAGATGTATGAATATCACCTCTCCCCAATAGATGTATGAACATCACTTCTCCCCAATAGATGTATGAACATCACTTCTCCTCAATAGATGTATGAACATCACTTCTCCCCAATAGGTGTATGAACAATACCTCTCCCCGAAAGGTTATGAACATCACTTCTCCCCAATAGATGTATGAACATCACCTCTCCCCAATAGATCTATGAACATCATCTCTTCCAAATAGATGTATGAACATCACTTCTCCCCAATAGATGTATGAACATCACTTATCCGCAATAGATGTATGAACATCACCTCTCCCAAATAGATGTATGAACATCACTTCTCCCCAATAGGTGTATGAACAATACCTCTCCCCGAAAGGTTATGAACATCACTTCTCCCCAATAGATGTATGAACATCACCTCTCCCCAATAGATCTATGAACATCATCTCTTCCAAATAGATGTATGAACATCACTTCTCCCCAATAGATGTATGAACATCACTTATCCGCAATAGATGTATGAACATCACCTCTCCCAAATAGATGTATGAACATCACTTCTCCCCAATAGGTGTATGAACAATACCTCTCCCCGAAAGGTTATGAACATCACCTTTCCCCAATAGATGTATGAACATCACTTCTCCCCAAGAGATGTCTGAACATCACCTCTCCCCAATAGATGTATGAATATCACCTCTCCCCAATAGATGTATGAACATCACTTCTCCCCAATAG